ATTCCTGCACTTTTCCTAAAGCGCGCAAGCTTTTTCTCAAGTTTCAGTTCGTCGCCCCGGAAACGGCACACTTACCGACGCACAAAATCGCCGATATCAGGAATAACCGCGCGAGACGCAAGCAGAAATACATTTTGGGCGGGTTCGTTGTGGGCTTGATTGTGGTCCCACCCGAACGCGCCGCGAGCACAGTCCACTGCCGCCACCGCCGTCGACACGGATCGATATAGAAGCGCAGACGCTGGCCAATAATTGTATTTCCTTCCTTGCAACCCGACACGCCGAACCTACCCTCGACAAGCGATTGCGACTCTCGTCATTGCACACCCTCTCACAATCTCTGGAGATTCATTGTCGAAGATACCATTGAAACTGCCGTAACTTTATTCGGCGAAAAGGGATGTTACCAGGGGAACGCAAAGAAACGCCACCGATTATAGCAAAATTTTCAACACGCCGGAATAAATTGTGCTACCTGAAGGGTTGGCAACTAAGGGTGGTTGGTCGTTCTCGATGTAGATACGCTGCTTTACCGAGGGATTCTGGACAAGCCGTGGAAGATGGAGTTGCATAGAGGGGAATATGCGAATCCCGTATGGATTTTTTGAGTCGCTATTAGAGTTCACAAAAAATAAAAATTCAAATCAAATAAAAATTTTTAGAAAAGAGAAAAAATATTCTTTGGATTTATTATATACGGTTATATATACAATAAAGTATATATACAATGAACAATATATATATATATATATACAATTTAAGAATTTAGTTGGAAAGTAATCATTAAACTTGTTTTATATATGTAATAATTATTGTTATACGATAATTACATTTTCTAATATTTATTTTAATATTTTTCTTGTTGTCTGGGATTTAGATCAAGAATAAATATAATTAAAGCATTATCATTATTTCCAAGTTATGGTAAAAAATTGATTTACATATCAAATAATCATTATACGCAGATGTCTCTTATGATTCAATGAAGTAATTATTGAAATCTCTTACATTCTATACTGCACATAAACCTTCGACCCGTATAGTTCAAAACTCGCTGT